AATGACTGTGCAGTACTGCACACAGTGTACAGTACAGTACCAGCCAGCAAACAGAGTCTACTGTACAGTAGATACTGTACGGTATTTGATCTTGCGTACAGTACTGTACTGTACAGTACGCTCTAGAATTGACAGAATGATATCAGCAAAAACTAGATTAACAGCTTTAGTATGAGGAAAAAGAATGTCCAAAAATCTGGACACATTTTTCATACATAGCCGCATAAAATGTGTCCAGACTTTCCGGGCGTCCAAACATCTAGACACACTTTTCATACAAAGCCAAATAAAATGTGTCCCGACTTTCCGGGCGTAAGAGTGTCCAAAAATCTGGACACATTTTTCATACATAGCCGCATAAAATGTGTCCAGACTTTCCGGGCGTCCAAAAATCTAGACACACTTTTCATACAAAGCCAAATAAAATGTGTCCCGACTTTCCGGGCGTAAGAGTGTCCAAAAATCTGGACACATTTTTCATACATAGCCGCATAAAATGTGTCCAGACTTTCCGGGCGTCCAAACATCTAGACACACTTTTCATACAAAGCCAAATAAAATGTGTCCCGACTTTCCGGGCGTAAGAGTGTCCAAAAATCTGGACACATTTTTCATACATAGCCGCATAAAATGTGTCCAGACTTTCCGGGCGTCCAAAAATCTAGACACACTTTTCATACAAAGCCAAATAAAATGTGTCCCGACTTTCCGGGCGTAAGAGTGTCCAAAAATCTGGACACATTTTTCATACATAGCCGCATAAAATGTGTCCAGACTTTCCGGGCGTCCAAAAATCTAGACACACTTTTCATACAAAGCCAAATAAAATGTGTCCCGACTTTCCGGGCGTAAGAGTGTCCAAAAATCTGGACACATTTTTCATACATAGCCGCATAAAATGTGTCCAGACTTTCCGGGCGTCCAAAAATCTAGACACACTTTTCATACAAAGCCAAATAAAATGTGTCCCGACTTTCCGGGCGTAAGAGTGTCCAAAAATCTGGACACATTTTTCATACATAGCCGCATAAAATGTGTCCAGACTTTCCGGGCGTCCAAAAATCTAGACACACTTTTCATACAAAGCCAAATAAAATGTGTCCCGACTTTCCGGGCGTAAGAGTGTCCAAAAATCTGGACACATTTTTCATACATAGCCGCATAAAATGTGTCCAGACTTTCCGGGCGTCCAAAAATCTAGACACACTTTTCATACAAAGCCAAATAAAATGTGTCCCGACTTCCGGGCGTAAG